AAGCGAAACAAGAGAAAGAAACAGTAAGTTAGTCTAACATCTGGCTGAGATCCCTCCCCGCAAGCATCTTCCTCTTGGATAGGCTCCCCTATTGATCCTTCCTCGCCAAGCTCGAGGGAGTCGGGCACAACAATCTTCCCATCTGCCACATAATAGAGAAATATCATCCTGGTTGTATTCAATTACACGCCTGGATTCATTACTCTGAGGTGCGCCACAATATTTTTGAAAGCTCCCTCAGCATTGGCCAGACCATCGTCCACGGCCAACTGGAGGCGAGCAACCAATTCTGCATAGGTTTTTAGATCCCTGGCTTCCTAAGGCTCATCATTGCCAAGAGTCGTATTTTCCCTCAAGGTAGCGACCATTTTCTCGAGGGGCTTCCTCTCCAACAGAAGGGTATTACGCTCCTCAGTCACCTTAGCCAAGTTCTATGTGACGCCTTGTTCACAGCATTCGTTGTGACGAGCTTCTCCTCGAGAGCCGCCACCTTAGCCTTAGACTTCCTCAGCTCGACCTCCAAAGAGGTGCCTTCCTCGACGTACACAACAACCATTCCCAATACTCCCATGACAGCAGCATCTCGGGCCAGCATCCCCCTTTTTCCCGGGTAGTCCATCTTTAGGCATTAGTGATTCAGCTCTGGGAAGCTGCAAAGAGGAGCTCTCGAAGAATTTCTTGTCAAGAAAGCAAAGAGGCAGCTGAAACTTTCCCTTGTCCTGCTCACCTGTCAGATCAACGGCACCGTCAATACGCAATCTCTTAAGCCTCGAGGGCACCTATTGAGGAGAGGGATACCCGACAACGGAGCCAGACGACGACGTCCCCGAACCCGCCTGGGGAACTGTCCCCGCTTCACCTTGAGGACCTTTTTCGGACTTCTGTCTTTTCTTCGATTTAAGGGCAGTCGACTTGATCATACGCTCCTAAGCAGCATTCATCCTTCCTGCAACAAAAAACAACAGATAAAAGTCAACAAACGAAGATAAAAAAATATGCGTACAAATCAAATTGAAATACAAGATAAACTACACAAGTACGCCACTGGATCACGCACTCAAGGAGTTCCTTAACGTCTATCAACCCTGGCTCAAACGTGAGCTCCTCATTCTTGTTTGTTACGAGCCTCCTCCCTTTTCCCACGCGCTGTACAGGAGGTATCCCCGCAACAAAGGCCAAGAATCGATGTGGCTAGCCTGGTCCTCGGGATTCAGTTGGCTCTTCTTCCAAATATAGTGGTCGGTCCCATGGACAAAATGTTTACTCGACCAGTGGAAGCTAAACTTTGGCATCAGCTTCATCACTGGGTCCCCTTCCTCGTTCAGCTCAGGTTCCCCAGCGTCATCGACCAGTGGGACGCTCCTAAAAACGTTCAACAACGCCCTCTCCGACACGGGCTGGACTAACATATACCTTTCCTTAAAATTTCGGACGGATTCGAGGTAAACCTTGAACAGCTTCCCGTTAGTCTGTTTTAGGAACCATCCCCACTGATTACCAAATTTTCCTCGGTGAAGGTGAAAGCAATAAAAAAACAAAGGAATGGTGGCCCTTATCAGCAAATAATCGTACATTATCTCGAAAGCCCGTAGGAAGGCAATCGAATTAGGATGAAGTTGGGAGGGAGAAAGACGAAGATGCCGAAAAACAGCCACATAAAGATAAGAGAAAGTAAGTCGAAGACTCAACTCTCGAAAGAGAATCTCGTACATAGAAATATGGTTCGCATCACATATGTGATGACCCTTCCCAGGGATGTAGATCGCCAATTCTTCCTCTGCATCCTCTGACTCCATCCCCAAAGCCACTGATATAAACACCTCATTTGGGTTCTCGACAAAGTGGGAAACAATATCCATAGGACCCGACGTGGCCCAGGCCAAAGGATCCTCGAGAGCCGCAGGCTCGCCCTACGTCTGCACCCTACTCGGGTACGCTTGGCTCAGGATCACGGATTCCTGAGGCACTCTCCCTGGTTGACGTGCCCCCGAATGAAATTACTACATAATCGATGTGCTCGCTCATAAGGTCGCCTTCGGTACTATTGGCCATTGTACTTGAAAAGCGGGGGGCAAAAGTGAATTCGAAATTGAATCAAATCCACTCTTCCACCGCTAATCAACTGAAAGGGCGTGAACGAAGACCTTGTCCCCGACCATAGCCCTCACTCAAACAGTAGAAAGAAATACGAGAACAATCCCCTCTAACGTATTAGGCGCCCGACCGCCAAGATAAACCCTAGCTCACGCGAGTAAAGATCCTTCCCTGACAAATGGTTTGAGGCCTCGCCCAGAGACACATCAGAAACTCAGGAAGTCCAAAGCGGAAATCCAAGAAACGGTACAATTTCGATAGAAAGTTCATCACAAACCGCCATTACTAGCCCGCCCTACCACCAGGAGTTACCAAACAGCTCCGCGGTGGAGCAAACATTCCCATGCGATGAAACCCCCGGGAGTCGTCCAATCTGAAGCTATTCTACCCTTAATCGCATGCATCTTTATAATCGCAACAAAAAATCTAACCTAAAACATGGAACATTTTAGCAAACACAGAAGGAAAACAAGAAGCTTACCAAGTTAGGGAAGATTAGCGGCGGAACTGGCATAAATTACAGCGACGGAACGGGCATAAATTACAACGGTGAACGGCGGAAAGGGAAAAAACTTCGGTGAAGAACGACGACATCATGCAAAAAAACAAAAACGAGCAGAAAGAGAACAAGCGAAAAGTGAAAATGAAGCTTCTTTTCTCCCTTTTATAGACAAACTTCGCTAGCGCGTGAACGGGCACGTGCCTAGGTGAACCTAAAGGTCGTCATCATTATGCCCTAGTCCCTAAACTTGCCATCATTACACCTTTATGACAGCATATGGCTCGAAGTAAGCGTGGCACGCTACCTCTCAAAGTCGAATCAACTATTCGGCTCCCGCATACCGAGCACATAAGGACCACGTTCGAGCTCCTCGACGTTGTTGCCCCGAGCACGTCCTGAAGCGTCCTCGACTCCTTGCAGGCTGACTCTAAGTCATCACTCTTACGTCTATGAGCAACGACTTAGGGAGACTTTTATTCTGGACTGACCCAATGATTAGAATTGGCCCAATCCGCTTCTACCTTTTGCATGGCCCAACAACGCTGGCCCAACACTCCTGGTCGACCACGCTCCTCGAGCGGCAAGACCAACGATGCCCAAGACGTGCACCTGCCCACGAGGGTAGCTACCTCCCAGTCTGTTCGACGCTCGTGGAGCAGACACCCATAAAACGCTCGCAAACGCTTTTGCCTGTAGTCCATATTATGCTCGGTGCAACGGCTAGTTACATACACGACTGCCCATTTTGACCAAGTCTTGGCAGTTACTTATTTCTGCAGACCCACATATCTAAGCCTAAAAATAGGGACCAATGGTCAAGCGTCGGGGCATTTTATAAACTCTCACACTTGTGAGGGTCAGGTATCTAAGATTCAGACCAAAAACCCTAATATTTTTCTTGTATCTCTTTGCACTCATTCTTACTTGATCGTCAGAGTGCCTTGCAAGTACACCCCTTTTTCTCCTCAACTTTCTAGTCAAACAGATGTCATCCTTCAGCTCAATTTCAAGTTCTGATCAATCGGTAAGATTAATTAGACATATTACATTTATCATATTAGTGATTTACTACATACTTATTTTTAAATATTTACAATTATTAGTGATTTTATAATAACAATTATATATCAGCAACAACCAAATCTTATCAAATGATCTAAACTATGAATAAATTTACCCGAACGGACACACGAGTCTTCTACTAATATATAAAATTAAATAAAAAATTTGGGTATTTGCAAATCAATCTCTTTAAATCATCAACAAATAAAAATAAAATTTTAAAACAGAAAAACAAATAATATGTTAAGAATGAAAAGGAAGACAATAAATTTAGAGCAAAGGAAATCATAACTGTTGCTTTAACAAATATCCATTGAGCACGTGGCAATGAAGGAGAGGTGAGAAATGGTCGTAATGGAAAAAATGAGAAACAGTTGAGAGGCAGAGTTAAGAGACACTGGCAAGGAAAGTAAAGGATCTAGAAAAAAGAAATTATTTTGAATGCTTCCTTCATTTTGAATGAGCTGTGACACGATGGCCGCACTACACTACCCCTTAACCGATATTGACCTGCCCATTTATCAAAAATCCGTTCAATACTGGGCCAATCGAGGTGTCGTCTGGACCAGCGCGACTTGCTTGATTCAGCCCAATTAAACTAGTAAAGTAGGGCCGCATTACCGCAGACCTATAATGGCCTGCCCGTTTATCAAATACTCGCCTGGCTGGGCTGGTTGTGGATCTTGTCAACCCCTAATCGAACACAACATAAACAAATCATTTCAGGCTTTAACTGTGTTTGTTACTTGATTTAAAAGAGCAAAAACAGCACGTAACAAAAAAGATATATCTTAGACCATCGTGTATTTGTGAGCAAACAGCAGCAACAACAAAAAAACATGTACTTGACTTTACCAGTCAACTATAGTATAATTGAAAAAACAAAGACAAATTTTGTAGCTTACTTGTATTCTGCTTCACACGGCTTAGTTGGCTGTTATTTCTAGTGCAACAGAAACTAAAGCAATAGACAAGACGAATAAGCCTGCAACGCCTGCTTAGCTTTGGTACAAATTAGGCAAGTGCAAAGAAATTGCACGAATAATAACAAAACACCTTTAGCAACCAACAATTCTGTTGATTTCACACCAATGGTTTAAACATGAAACAATAATTTCACTTGGATTTACAAACGCGCAAACGGAAGAAAAAATTTATGTACAAGATTAAGTAGATAACTCCATGATGTTCCTCTTTAGCATGTAAAGATCATCTTCCCTCTTTCTTACTAAGCACCCTCTCTTAAACACAATTGTACCGACTTCGTGGGAATTTATTCATGTATTTCCATAACCATCTTCTGTACAGGCCACCATGCTTGACACATCAGTGTCAAGCAGGCTTAGCAAGCACGCGACTCTGAAACTGGTAGCCGCCTTGTCATTGGAACACTACTACCTGATACTTTTAAGGATGCAAAAAGGCAAGATAGTCGTGCTATCATGGGCTTAGTCTTTGGCACTTTAGACACGATAGCCAGCTCCATACTTGTATCAGATGTGCTATGATAGCCTTCAAGATCATCTTTGGTTATGAGAACTGTGTCACCAGAAGGTGAGTGTGGTAAAGGAGAAGGTCTTTGATTGTTATAACATTGAACAGCCTGAACTGTGTCTCCAGAAGGAGAGTGTGGTAAAGGAGAAGGTCTTTGATTGTTATAACTTTGAACCGCCTGCATACAATAATACAAGCATAGATTATACAAAAACTGAATAGGAAAGAAATCATTACCATAAAAGCACAACAATTGTTACGTTGTTGTCACTGGGCTTCTCGAAAGTAGAAGAGCAAAAATAAATAAATAAATCAATAAATAAATAATAATAATAATATAAGACTGGGTATACCTTCCACTGTGATGGTGCTAGTAGCACTCTAGGTCTTCGAGACCGCACATACTCAAGGGCAGCAGCAGGAGTCATGTGCTTGTATTCAACCTGAAAAACAGGAATAGAATACATGGTAATCAATCAGCCCCTCAAAGCTTCACCTGATGCCACAACTTTTAATCAGAAAGAATAGGAGCTTACCAAATAACAAAGCACAATTGTTGTACTCCTCCCACGCCCAGCTTTACAGTGAACATAAGTAGTTTTACCACAAGTAGCATTATCTGTAATAAAATACAAAAGTGAAACAAACCACATTCGTAAATCCATTTCCCAGGACACAAAACATAACTAAGAACCACATTGATAGATGGATTTATCCCCCTTCCCAAAATTAGATAAAATTGAAAAAACCCACAATGAATGAACTGCACAGCCCGGTTGATATCCACAAATGAGGGAGCAAAGAGATAATCTCTTGTGGGAATTACCAAATGATCAATCCCATGAGCCTGAAACAAATCAAGCAAACAAACAAAGCAATCAGAAATGGTCATAAAAATAAATAAACATAGCAAAGACGTCAGAAACTATCATGGTAATGTGAAAATTCATTATTCATGTATTAATCATACTCAAACCAACTAGATATACTCGTGAAGCATACATCAGAGACTCCAAAAATAGGTAATTTTTCTTCATAACATACAATTAGCTCAGAGAGTGCAAAAACAAGACATACTTGAAGAAAAAGGGCATAACGCTTACACGATACAATGAAGACGGTACCAAAGTTTCATACGGTTCATTCAGAGTAATTACACCGCCAACACCGAGGTTCTTCAAATGAGGAACATCTTTAGGAAACGGTACTGCACCCAGCAACAAAAACTAGAAGTAACAACAAACAAGTGTTTAATTTAACAAAGCACATCAAAAGCACCTATCAATCAAAGAACATTCAGTACCACAGCCACCCTATCTAATAATTCATTTTCAAAAAATCAACAATTCATTCTCATATCTCAGCAATTAAAGCAATTTTCCCTTCCAAATTACCCTAAATCAAAATCAAAACAACAAAAACTAAAAATCCATCAATAAAATACAGAAAAAGCAAAACCTCATCAATTTGATCCCACCATCTGAACTCAGCTTCCATTTTGTTTCTCAGCACGTTATACAAAAGTGTTGGATAAAACAGAATCCGCGCACCTGCTCCAACCAACGCTCTCTTCGCATCAACCCTAACGATTTGTCTCTCCAAATTCTCTTCTTCTTCCCTACAACACTCTGCGTCATCCAATTCCTCGATCTTCATCGCTAATAAAACCTAAAAACCTAAAAAACCCTAAAAAACACAATCGCGATTCAGATTCACGTAAAGGAAAACCCTAAAAATTGAATAAATGAAAGGAATCTTACTTACCTTATTGAAGGAATTGGAATCAAGAAGACGCAAAATCGAAAATTGGCGATAAATGGAAAATCGATGTGAGAGGAGAAAAAGGAATTGGGAACGACGTTAATAATCAAAGTGTTCACAAGAAGAAGAGTGGAGTCTAGTCTAGAGAGTAGGAACTAGAATGGATCCATTCGGAAATGCCCTCGGAATAATGTATTACCAAATATACCCTTCTTTCTAGTGTAAAGAGACATTTTGACGTGTCCATTTTTTGTGGTTAACTATAATTAAAACTCATCTAATTTTGGACTTTCTTCCCATTGTTTTTAATTATAAAACCTTTTTTTTTTCTTTTAGATGTATTAAAGTCTTCTCTCTATCCTAAAATAAATATCTTTTTAATTTAAAAAATTTGTATCAAAATAAGTGTTGTTTTATTTTTTCAATGCAACATTAATTGATTTTTATCAATTTTATCTTTAATTAATTATGTCTACACTATTCTCAAGGTATTAAATTTTACTTTACTTTTATGACAATGTAAAAGTAACAAATAATCATTAAGGACAATTTTGTAAAAGTGGTTATATTTATTCTTTCAGACATTAATTTTCTTAATTTGTGTGTCACAATCTTAAAAGGTTTTTATTTTGAGACAGAGAGAGTATTCAATAAAATAATTGAATATGTGAATATACATATTCAATTATTATAATTGTTGATCTTATCGGTTGATCAGAACCTGTAAGCTGACCGGAAGATGACCTTTGACGGGCTGGAAAGTCGATGAAAAAAGGGGGGTTGTACCTGAATGGCACTCTGATGATCAATTAAGTGTGAGAGCAAAGAGATACAAGTAGAAAATTAGGGTTTAGGGTGTGAGATTGTGAGTACATGGCCCTCACATGAGTGAGAGTCTATATAATGTTCCCCCGACGCGTAGCCATTGGTTTTTATTTTTGGGCCTAGATATGCGGGTCCACAAAAATAGGTAACTGTCAAGACTGGGTCAAAACGGGAAGGTATGCTCGTATGTAGTCATTTATTTCGAGGAGGAGGATTACAGGCATATGGTCATTTTGGTTGTTTCCTGGGTGTCTGTCCGACTCATGTCGGGCTGACGGAAGGCAACTGCTGACCAGGTCAGACGTCTGAGTCGGGCATATATGGTCGTGTGCTCATGGGCATGGTCGACCAGAGTCTTGGGCCACTGTTGTTGGGTCGGGCCAAAGGTGGAAGCAGATTGGGTCAATTCTAGTCATTGGGTCAGTCCAGAACAGGAGCCCCCCAAGTTGTTGCTCCTGGTCACAAGAGTGATGACTTAGAATCAGTCCGTGAAAATGGGGGTACTTCTTGGTCGATTTTGTATGAGGAGTACGAGTGATGCTCGTCGTGTTCGTCTTGCAGGGAAAGGAACATTTGAGTGGTTTCAAGGAGTTGCCATGTCTCGAGGGGCGATTTCGTACGAGGAGTCCGAAAACTGCTTGGTGTTTGTTTTGCAGGGAGAGGAACGATTGGTTGAGTCCGGGGAGATTATGTGCCACGCTTGTATCGAGCCATGTGATGTCAAGGAGGTGTGATAATGGTTAGCCTATGGACTAGAGTGTAATGATGATGCCTTTTAGGGTTCCTTAGGTGCGTGCTCTCCCACGCGCTGGTGAGTCTAGACTATAAAAAGAGGGGAGTGACCTTTGTACATATTTTCCGCCCGTCTTTCAGTTGCTCGATACCTTTGCTCTCACTCGACTTCATCCGTGTCCAAGATTTTCGTTTCTTACATCGTTCCCCGCTGTCTATTCTCGTCGTTTCTTCACTTAATCCGGTAAGTTTTCCTTGATTCCCTTTGATTTTGTCATCATCACTTTCGTTATATTTTAGATTTTAAGGTTTTTCCTTAGAAAATGCATGCGGATATGGTTATTGATTTCTTAGAAATTCTGGTGAAATGTTGGTTGGTGAAGGTGATTCTGGCTAGTGATGTTGTCGAGGATACCAAGTGTCCTCCCCATGGGAGTTTTTGGAACCTCAGTGGTGTCAGACGAACGTAGGAAATTTTTATATGAATCCAACTGGCTTGCTCGGGGAAGGGAGATCATCTAGTGGTCGTTTAAGTGAGAGCTATGGTCGGGGACAGGGTCCTCGTTCATTGGCGCCCTTTCACTTGATTAGTGGTAGAAGGGTGAATTTGACGTTGACGTCGAACTCACTTTTATCCTCTGCTTTTCAGGTACGATGACTACTAACACCAATGATGAGTTTCTCAATGAGCCTAGTGGTTATGCCCAGAGTTCTGCCAAGAATATGTTCGGCGAGGCGAGCCGTTCAGGGACGTATGAGTCCTCTCCAGGAGAACTGGAGCTAGAGATGCCTGGTAATCAGGATATTGAGGAGGACGTGGAGGTGGCTCCCATTGATTAAGAGGGTCCCAGTGTGCCTGTGGTCGAGGAAGGTCCACTGGATTGGGTTGCGTTGGGCCCATTGAGGTATGTCTCCCATTTTATTGAGCATCTTGATGAGATATTCACCTCGTTGGATTCGGAGATAGATCGAGAGGGTACTGAAGAGAAATGGGAAATCTACATCCCCAACAAGAAGAGTCAGATCTGCTCGCGGTGCGAATCTCGCTGGTTCCCTATGCACGAGATCATGTTCAAGGAGATGTGTTTGCGGCTTCCTTTCTTGGACTTCCAAGTGGCAGTCTTCAGGCATCTTCATATGGCTCTATCCCAACTGTACCCGAACTCAATTGCCTTCCTTCGGGCTTTCAATATCGTGTGCGACTATTTGGGCGACATGGCCATTGTCCCTTTGTTTTTCTACTATTTCCATCTTTAGAGGCAATCGTTTGGTGCCCAATATGGTTAGTGTTGTACCCCAAATTTTGACCTAAGATACCATCTCCCATCTGCATCATTACATTGCAAGGATTTTGACCTGTTTTTATCAACTTTCAAAGCAGTTTTTAAATTCATAACTTTTTCAAGTCAAGAGCTATTTATTTTTGAACGCTAAATTTATTAACTGATAAATGCTAAAACAATGTTTATTAATTATTTATTATCTTAAATTTAAATAATTGGAATTTATTTTCCGTTACTATATAATTTAAAGATTTATAAATAATAAAATAAATATTTGAAAAGAGGTTTATTAATTGATCAAACAATGTTTATTAATTATTTATTATCCTAAATTTAAATAATTGGAATTTGTTTTCAGTTATTATATAATTTAAAGATTTATGAATAATGAAATAAACATTTGAAAAGGAGTTTATTAATTGATCAAGCAATGTTTATTTAATTATTTATTGTTCTAGGTTTAAATAGTTGAAATTTTATTTTCAGTTATTATAATTTAGAAGAATTAAAAATAATGAAGTAAATAATTGAAGTTATTAATTGATCAATGATGTTTATTTATTTGTTTATTATTCTGAATTTAAGTAATTGAAATTGATTTTCAGTTATTATATAATTTAAAGAATTATAAACGATAAATAAATAATTGGAAAGAAGAAAATAATTAACTGGAAAATAATAGAATTTTATTCATTTCATTCTAATTGTTACAATTGTTGTTTAAATACCGTATTTATTCACAACGTATTTACAACGATAATTTTTACAATGTTTAAAATGAAATAAAAGCTATCCTAATTTTTCTAAGTCCTAAATCTTCATCTTCTATCAAATGCTTCTTTGTTTGCTCATTTAATTTTACCTGCAAAAAGAATTAAAGAAAAAGTCAGAAGTAAATAAATAATTAAAAGCAGAAAATTATTTTAGTGTTCATCATTAAAAGCAAACGGCTGGAATCAGTTTTACCCTTTTTGCAAATCACGGGATTTCTCCCGGTTCACAAAAAGGGATGAATTTTTATTGATAAATATGAATGCACAAATTTAAATATGCACAAATTCATTTTTGTCAAAAAAAAACTGCATTTTTCAAATCAATTGCATTTTCAAAAGCCCACTGCATAGTTTAAAACAATTTATGCAAGCAATGTATATTCCTTTTTACATCATTTTCCAGCATGCTTTTTCAGAACAGTAAAGTACATATCACATTTTAATGTATCAATTTGTACTTAAGAGAGAGAAGAGAGGAAGAGTGTGTTTTACAGGTTTTGGCTTAGGCAGGAAGAGTTACAAAACAAAACAGCATCATCCAGTAAGAGAAAAAGGAAGCATGAAATAGAATACAAACAAACTGATATAACAGTATAGTATGCAGAGGTCAAAAGCAAGAAATATAGTTAAAATATTCAAACCTGGAACATAAGCTAAGGAAACCAACGGTTAGTATAACAACAACAAACCCCCTTCAAATTCAAGGATCCAAAACCTGTTTTTCAAGCCTTCAAAAACAGAACTAACAAATACAAGAAGCCCATTCTCAAAATCAAAAAGGCAAAAACCAGTGTAACCTGTCATCTTAAAAAACCAAAACCTTATGGCCTAAACCATACACAACCAACACACTGTTAACCTGCATAAACCATCAAACCGATATGGCCTAAAAAACCATTAACTTACATAACCATCACCTACTGTCCAACCAAAAACTAAAACCAAAAACCATTCCAAACCTGCTGTCTCAAGGCCACAAACCAAAAACCTTATGGCCTAAAAACCAGTCAAACCTGTTGCCATAACCTACTGTCAAACAAAACACCATCAACCATAACCACAAAGCATAAACCATGAAACCAATGTCCAATACCAAAGCCTCAGAATATCATCATAGGCCAACAAAAAAGCATACAGAAGCATAGCTGAGAAGAAGAGAAAAAAGCATCAACATTGTCAAGCTAATCAAAACGAAAGTTTCAACCATAGCATTCAAAGCATTAAGGCAGTTGTTCAAAGCAAATGTTCGAGGAAACAGGCTAGAAGAAAAGAGGAAAAGAAT